AAAGAGTAAGAAAGAGAAAGATATATATATATATATATATATATATATATATATACAGAGAGAGAGAGAGAGAGAGAGAGAGAGAAAGAAAGAGAGAGAGAGAGAGAGAGAGAGAGAGAGAGAGAGAGAGGCTGAATGGCAAAATTGAAATATGGGTCAAATTGTGGCCGCAATGATGCGTGATCTATTTCACAGTTGGAGTGATTTTCTTAAATTTATTGAGCGTTTTTCCTGGAAAGCTCACAACAAAATTTATGAGTAATCCAATTTTGTGTTTTTTTCGCGCATTCTTCGGAGTGAAACGGTATTCACCGGTTCACAGTAGCTGATGCAGATCCTAGGGCTCGATCCCTAGATCCCCACCTTACCTGTGTACAGTACCTGTGTCAACACGTAGAGTTGAACCTGCGACCTGTAAGACCGCCAGTGGTAGGTAGGACATCATAGGTTACAGGGTATAGGGGATTCGAACTGTAGACCTGTCGGGTAGGAGTCTAGACCGTCTAGCAGTCGTAGCTGTGGACTTTTCGAAGCATCAAAGTCGTAGTTGCTACTTCCCTGAAAGGGCAGAGTCGTAGCTGCTACAGTACCGAAAGGCCAAGTAGATGGTTCTAGAAGCGGCCTTTCGGAGTCAGCCCCAGTTTAGGCAGAGGCAAGTGGGCAAGTGGTGGAGGTCCACCACGCAGAGTCAACAGTCCCAGTCCAGTCAGTTCGGTCCAGTCAAGCAAGTACCGTCTGGGACTATGTGCACCGTGGGCCAGGGACGCAGGGCAGACCAACGAGTCACCGAAGTATAAATCAAGAGGCCGCGCACAACCATTCATTCATTCCTGCGGAAGCCATGCGGAAACGCTGCCTCGGCGTCTTGTGCGAGGAGGTCTGCAATAGGCCCGAAGCTGAAGTGGGCGAGAGTGACGAGGTAGCCATAGCGATAGGGTAGAGGCAGCTAGCGCTGCCATAGCTGTAGCTTAGGGTGTTGTGTGTGTGTGATGCGTGAGTGTTCAGAGTGTCACGTGTGGGATATCCAGGGTGATCCAGTGTGTGTGAACAGTGGGTTGTTGGGCGCTGAGTCGCCATAGCCAGTGGAAGTGAACTCTTACCTGGAAGCCATATCTCTGTGTGGGTGCAGGTCCCCAGTTTGCTGCGCTGCTGTTCACGTGCATGAAAAGTGTGAATAAGACGAGTCTGATTGCATTGGTATCGGAGCTGGTACCCGCTACTCCATGCGCGCCGTCGTGTGCAGGGTTGAGGCGCCATAGCAGAGGTGGCCGCTGAGGGAGATAGTCCGCCATAGCGGACCCGAGGTTGAAGAAGCCACCGCGCACCTGCAAGAAGACCACGACGAAGAAGAAGACAGAGCGCGCTCGCACGCACGAGAGAGAGAGAGAGAGAGAGAGAGAGAGAGAGAGAGAGAGAGAGAGAGAGATGAGCGATACAAGTTTGGTTGTCACTTACCTGTAACGCGAGCTGAGCAGACCCACGAAGGAGGGAGAAAGCGGCCATAGCCGCGGAGCTGTACCACAGAGTGACGAAGGAGGACAGAGAAGGAGGGACCGAGGAGAGAGA